CTGATTATAAAAAAATTCACAGAAATGTACCTACGACTGCCAGTTTCAATGCTGTTGATAATCGTGCATGCATCTTCTGCAAAAAGTCCCATAATTCATTTTCTCGTGACAAAAGCATTAAAGAAAAAATATGTAAGTTACGTACTGAAAATAGATGTTTTATTTGTTTTCGAAAATATCACATATGGAAATCGTGCAGGAATAAAACTAACTGCTTAACTGGATAGGGAATATTTAAAATGCGGGTTTAAGTCGCATCATGAGTCACCATGTACGAGTAGTTCAAATCGTAACAAAACGCGAACGGCTTCAAATCAAAACATAAAAGAATTGTGCAAAAGCTCGCAAGACAATTCAGTAGATGAAACACTAAACTCCCCGAAAGAACACATGCTTTCTGTTGTTCCTTGTGATAAATCATTGAAGAAAAATGCTTTATTGCAAACCTGTTCAGTGTTAGCTCATTATGACAGAAGGTCAGAGTTAACTAATTTAATTTTCGATTGTGGTGCTACACGAAGTTTTGTTCATATTAGTGTAGTTAAGAAATTAAACTTAAAATTTGTTGGAGAAAAAACATTGTCTATATATTCTTTCGGAATGAAATACGCAGTACCTAAAACATATAAGGTTGTTGAATTGTGTTTCGGATGCGAAGCAAAAGAACAAAATAAAAATCAGCTGTCTCGTCACTGACGACATTATGGCTGCGCATATGACCACGCTGTTAAAACAAACACTAAAAATAATGAACGAGTGCAGATTGCGAATTGCTTGTTTATGTAAAGGAAGCGTTGGAATTCTAATAGGTGTGGATTATTACTGGAAGATGGTAAGGGGGGAAAAAAGATTCAATTAGGAAAAGGAAATTTATGCGATTTCTACTATGTTTAGATAGGTCCCAGTTGGCCTTCAACATGGAGAGAGCGAAATAAGTATCTCAAAAACAAGGCAATAGTAAACCTTTTCTTCTTGCGTAACTGATTCATTGCAGATCGTTGTGGACTTTAGATTTGATGGGTCTTAGCCGATGACTCAGCGATTTCTGACGAGATGATGGAAATGATTCAGAGCTTTGAGAAGGAAATACGGGTAGAAGGTAATAGATACTATGTCAGTTTATTATGGAAATCGGAAGCAGGGCAGTTAGAAAATAATTTGAGTCGCATTAAGACGATTTGAAAGTCTTAAAAATAGACTTATTAGAAATCCTGAGATTTATCAGCAGTATAAATCCGTAATTGAAGAGCAAATGAAGGAGGGTATAGTTGAGAAGTGTTCACAGGAAATAACGGAGGCATCATATTTTATGCCGCACAGGGAAATAATAAAACCTAAGGAAACCACAAGTTGTAGGATTGTTTATGACGCAAGCTCTTCTAGGGCCAAAGGTGTAAAGTCCTTAAATGATTATTTAGACATTGGACCTAGTTTGATCCCCGTGGTTTTGGACATAATTTTAAAATTTCGGAAATATGAAATTGCTTTCAGCGGAGATTTAACTAAGGCCTTTTTAATGACAGGAATCTTACAAAAGGATTGGGAATATTTAAAATTTCTTTGGTTCGGGAATAGTGAGGAAAAATATAGTTTTAAGGTTTAAACGTCTTCCATTACGACTTTGCTGTAGTCCAGCAATTTTAGCGATGACAATAAAATTCCACATTAAGAAATATAAAAGCACAAATCCACAAAGTTATGAAATGTTAGATTCCTCGTTATATGTAGACGATTTATACTACGGTGCAGACACGATTGAAGATGCATGTCGATTATCCTCAGACGCGGTTAAGATTTTTAAAGACGCTGAAATGAATTTGAGAAAATTAAGGTCAAATTCCGAGGAACTTAATTCCTGGTGGATTGAAAAAGGTTATAACATAGAACCAGCTAAAGAGTCAAAATTTTTGGGCATAATCTGGAACTCTGAAGCAGATAAGATCAAGTTGAATTACAAATTTTTAGGAAATTTATCCCATGACAGTGCTGAGGCCACAAAAAGGACTATTCTCCAAATGGTGGTCAAAGTTTACAATCCAATTGGTGTGTTTCAACCCTTTGTGATGAAAATGAAAATTCTATTACAAAAAATTTGGACATTAGGTGTGGACTGAGATGATACCCTTCCATCAGAAATAATTAAGGACTGGAGTCGCTGGCAAGCTGAATTAAAGATGTTGGAGGATTTTTCTCTTCCGAGAAAATATTTTGGTAGTAGTAAAAAATCTAATGTTAGTCTTCATGTATTTGCTGACGCTAGCCCTAAGGCGTACGGCACAGTAGCACCCTTTAGATACCTTGATTCAGAAAATAACGCGATGCATGTAAGTAGAAACGAAATATCGTTTGATTAGGCAATATGGTTTCTGTGAAGCTAGTCCGCCTAACAATAGGACATAATATATGTAAATATAACGGATAATAAATAGCATTAGAAAAACTGAACCACCGGATGTTTTGTGATTAGCTCTTCGGGCCACCATGGATAAATGCAGGTTCGTTACAAAGATAAACATGTTAAGATTCTAGTATCAGAAGTAAAACATTCAAATATTATGTTTTCATTGTTCTTCCATATGTTCTCCAAAAATTAAGAAATTCATTGCAAACTTTCTGTAAAATACATCCATTACGTCTTGGCACCATGGAGACATTTTTCATTTTTTCAGATATTTCTCGAATCTTCTAGAATCGTGGGTCTATAAATCTTGCCTTCAAATCCTTCCAATCTGCAATGTCTAAAATCCTAAAGAAAAATTATCCCTACCATTTCTGTAACAGAAAAAAGGCTATATTTTGGAAAAAAATAGGAGGGAAAAAGTATAAAATTAATTTTATAGAGAAAACTGATGCACATTCTAAAATTTTTGAGTATTCTGAGACAGATACATGGGATAAACTCTTACTATGTAAAAATTAAAAAAAGATATTTTTTAATTAATTACGTAGCTATTTTGCTTTTGCTAAGAACTGTTTTGTAAATTGTGCTTTATACATTACACCTTGTTTATAGTTTTTAGAAAAAAAATATTGTATAATGTTACAAAATGAAACTTATAAATAAAAATGTTTTTTTAATTTTTTGTAAATATAATAATATTTACCATTATTTTCATGAATTTTATGAATATTATGATGATTTTGAAAAAAATTCAAAAAATTCAATCTGAATTCTCGAATTAAAGTTTCTAAAGAAACTGATCTTAAATCACCCCCGCGTCGCCAAATTTAGGACCGTTTAATAAAAGAATTCACATTCCCCAAAAGCGAAAATTGTTTAAGAGGCTCTTTATTCAAAAAAGATTTTCAAAATGCTTATGTTTCACTTCTTGCTTAAAACTCGAGATCCATCAATTATATTAGAACAGAAACAAATTATAACACATAAACCCAATTCAAAGATAACCAATATGCCAGTGAATCGCCAAAAATATTCCGCAAAGCTTTTTCACACTCAAAACAGTCGTTCAGACATAGGTGTTAAAAGAACTGCTGATTTTGGCCAAAATTAACTACTTTTAAGGACCAAAAATCGATTCCAAAAATATAAGGACTTTTAAGGACACTTAAGGACTGTACAAACCCTGCATTACCTGTTAAAAAAGTTACATAACCGGAATAGGAATTACTTGAAATGGAATTATTTGTAATTTTAAGTATTTGTTGCTCTGATGATAAGTCAGCAGTGGACAGTTTGAAATCTATCAAATTTTTACACACAAAAGATCAGAAACTAAATTGGCGGTTAATAAAGAAATGTGGCACTGCATGATTTCTATTTCAAATTTTATTTGTATCAAAAAAAATTAAACTATATTTATTCAAAATAAGTCGCATTTCAGATGTCAAAAGATCGCAAGTAGCTCGTGAGTTGCAATTAAGGTGTCGTAGAGCTGCATGCACAGCTCTGAAACTTAACATTAGTACTATAGACAGCCCTATATAGTACAAAGTCTGAAATCCGGAATGATCTAATATCAGGACCTCAAAGCCACCACCAACTTTTTTTTAAAATTTATTTATTTTTTATGTATTTATATTTTGTGTGCGCTTTACGCAGGTGCATTTTGTATCTTGGATTTTGTACTGTATTTACCATAACTCACAGTTTCTTACTGGAATTTTATGGCGAGAAAATACCTTAACCATGTCGCCACAAATTCAGTATCATATACAGTCAAAAGTCATTAATCTGGACTCCTTGGGACTTCAGCGCTTCCGGATTATCGATTTTTCTGGATTATAGATCATCAGTTTAAACCTGGTAAGATGGCATGCAGAAATTATAAAACTAAAAATATGAAACAGTAATTTATGAAATAATGAACATATTTATGATCTAAAGGGTATCAAAATTTACAAAAAGAAAAAGCTTAATATTTATTTGTTTACCTTTATTAAACATTTCGTTCAATGTATGTTGTTTAAGTTGCTTTGTTTTCATTGTGATAATACTTTCTCTTTTAATTCCATTACACAGACATAATCTCTTTTGTTTAGTTACAAGTTCCGCTGTTCAGAAGTCCTATGGAACCGCTGTTTGTGGAGCAATTCCGACTAACTTGTCAATCAAAATTTTCTCGTTTTCAATAACCTCTTTCTGTCACTTTCTTCACTAAACGGTAGCGAATTATAATGATTTACGGAATCTTGATTTACCATACTACAAATTTTGCCATGGAGTTACGTTCGATTGATGAAATACTACATTTAGTAAGGAATTATAAGCCAAATAAAATAAAAACATCTGCCCTGAAGATAAGGATAGTGCTGACAGATCAACTTCCAATACATTGCGCGCCGCGGCGTCAATGCGACGCATGCGCAGAAAGTTTGTAGCTTTGAGATCCGGATTATAGATCATTCCGGATTATGGGTTTCCGAATTAACGACTTTTGACTGTAACAGGTACTAATGGTTAGAGAGTTTTTTTAAGGTGACTACATTATAAAAGTTCAATTATGCACAAAAATAAACACATGGAATTAAAAAATACTTACAATAAGACCAGGTAAAGGATTTGATGTCAGTAAACAATGTTCAAGCCATTCAAAATCTTCATACTGTCTTTGTACTACATAACTAACATCACCATTCTTCTAAAAGGAAAAGAGAACCTATATGTAATATTAATACTGTCTTTGCACCACATAACTAACATCATCATTCTTCTAAAAGAAAAAAAAAAAGCACCTTTATATAATATTAAATATACCGTAATTTCCGGAAGAACGGAAGAAACGCCGCAGCGTTTAGGTGTTTAAAACTTAAATTTTCAGTGGGTGTGGCGTTTATACCCATGCGGCGTTTAGGTGCACTAAAAATAAAATAGTCCCTATGATGGTCATTGTACATAGTTTGGATGGCCTTGTCATTGTGCATAGACTGGTGCTGTTCCCACACAAAAGACCACTCAGTTGCTTTTTGCGAACATTATTTTGTTTAGATTCTTTCCCTTGAACGGACCTGTACATGCCTTATTCACCCTAAACGGGATCCTCAGAACAATAAGCATTCTTTCCCTTTTCAAATCAACATTCTCATCAGTTTGAATAGTCTCTCTCCTCTGCCATTCTATGAATCTTCCAGGACCCATCCTCTCCCCACCCCTGCCTTTTCTATTGCAAATTACTGCAATTTTTTCAAAGGCAGGACACGACTCCACCTGCCTCGCAATAACGAACTCTGACGTATTTCCCCTTCAACGCATGAATGGATTTTTCTTGGCATTCTGCTGCCAGATACAGATCCCATCAGTTTGGGTACAAGTACTTGTTTGAATAGTTTTTTAAGTAAGAAGGGAGTAGAAAATTTTTGAAAATGTCTCTAAACGGCACAGAAGCTATACTGCTGGTTTTAAGCTTAATGTAATCTCACGTGCTGAACAAATTGGAAATCGAACAGCAGCTTGAGAGTTTGAAGTGGACGACAGATGTATTCAACGTTGGAGAACTGAAAAAGAACTTCTTAAAAATATGCCACAACAGAAACGAGCCAAAAGAAGTGGTAATGTAAGGTGGCCAAATCTAGAGGACGACCTTGCAAACTGGATAAAGAAGCAACGAGGAAAGGGAATGGCAATTTCGACTGTAAAAATTCGCTTACAAGCAAAATTTATAGCAAAACGAATGAACATAAATGATTTCAAACGAGGTGTAGCAGATTTATGAAAAGAAAAAATATTTCTGTGCGTACTAGAACAACAGTTGGGTAACAATTACCGATGGACCGGCAGGATAAAAAGTCATCTTTTCTAAAATATGTGACAGCTATTATTGACAAAAAAAAAAAAAAAAAAAAAAAAAAAAAATTCTTCAGTCACAGATAATAAATATGGATGAAACGCCGTTAGCTTTCGACTCTCCTGCAAACAGAACTGTTGATGAAACTGGTGCAAAAACTGTATCTATGTTTAGAACTTACAACGGGGCATGAAAAAATGTCATTTACATGTGTGTTAGCTGTGTACCGCAAACGGTGACAAGCTAAAGCCGATGATCAATTTTTAAACGAAAGACTATTCCGAAAGGCAGATTTTCCTAATGACGTAATTATTTGTGCAAACGAGAATGGCTGGATGTGCGAAACAATCATGCATGAGTGGCTACAAAAAGTTTGGCAGTGTCGTATGGGATCTTTTTTCCAACCAAAAGGGTTATTGATAATGGATTCCATGCGTGCTCATTTACTTGAGTCAGTGAAAACCAGATGTCAAAAATTGTCTACGACCGAAGCAATAATTCCTGGTGGTTTGACAAAAATCTTACAACCGTTAGATTTGTCAGGTAATAAATACTTCAAAGCTGAAGTCCGAATGGGTGGGAGTGTTGGATTAGTGAAGGATTGCATACGTAAACCAAAAGCGGTAAAATGCGTAGAGCATCTTATGAAGAAATTACAAAGTGGGCAGGAAGTGCGTGGAAATCGGTAGAAACATCGCCAATAATAGCAGTGTTCAAAGAAGCTGAAATTATATCCTTAGGTAAAAAGACTGTAAACCAAGAGGATGAATGTGACGATCTGGAAGACTTGGACTTATATCAGGATTTACTAAATCTTTTTAATTCAGATAATGAAGAATCAGATTTTGATGGCTTCATATGATGTATAGTTTGCTGTAATTCGTAAGTAAAATTTAAAATTTCCTTTTGTCATCCAAATTTAATATTTCGCTGTTGAGACATTTTTTATAATATTGTCTGAGTATTACAAATATGGACTTCTTTAGTGGGTAAATAAAAGTATATACGTGAACGTAAATATATTTTCCACATTTCTTACCTTTAATTTTATTTTTCAGTTATGGTTTCATTTCATGCATTTTTCTTAACTGGTATGTCATATATCAGGACTTAGGTCGAGTTTTTACATCTATATGGCCCACGACGATCTCTCGCGCGCAATTTAATCTATTGCGGCGTTTCTGTGTAATTTAAATTTTTTTCCCGCCATTTTTCTCGAGTGCGCGTTTACGCTGATGCGGCCTTTCTTCCGGAAATTACGGTAAATTGAAGTCTTATAATTTTTAACAGCATTTGACCAACAGCATATATAATTAACAATATTTTTTTTTTAATTCGGAATCCTCATCAAGGCATTGGCCAGAGTACATGAATGATATACTGCAAATAGCTGACACTATTTATGATATGATAACAATACTTCCATTTAAACAAGGATACATATCAAAATCGTAAAAACAACCTTGTACAGTCAAAAGTCGTTAATCCGGACTCGTCGGGACTTCGGTGATTCCGGATTATTGATTTTTCCGGATTATAGATCATCAGTTTAAATCTGGTAAGATGGCATGCAGAAATTACAAAATTAAAAATATGAAACAGTAATTTATGAAATAAAGAACAATTATGATCTAAAGGGTATCAAAATTTACAAAAAGAAAGAGCTTAATATTTATTTATTTACTTATTAAACATTTCTTTCAATGTAAGTTGCTGCTCGTTTCGTTCATGTGATAATACTTTCTCTTTAATTCTATTAAACAGACATAATTTCTTGTTTAGTTACAAAGTTCCACTGTTGAAGTCCTATAATTGCTGTGTTGAGAATATCGACTAATTTGTCAATCGAAATGTTTTCATTTTCAATAACCTGTGGGTCACTTTCTTCACTATCGGAAGCGAATTATAATGATGAGGAACTTGATTTAAATCATATCAAAGACGGAGTACATCGAGATGAAATACTACAATTAGTAAGGAATTATAAACCAAATAAAATAAAAACATCTGCCCTGAAGATAAGGATAGTGCTGACAGATCAACTTCCAATCCGCTGCGTGAAATTGATAAACAGATTTCGGATTTCAAAACATACTTTCGCTTTGTAGATACAAATTACATATTAGTAAATATATATCGGAAATTCTATTTGACATAATCGAAAGTTCAAGCTTACTTTTATGAAATTGCTCTAACAGTCCGCAAAAAATAATAAGCCGGATCCAATTCGAAGATTACGGAACAACGCAATCTGCAACATTAACTGAATTAAATAATTTTTGCTTAGATTATACCGTCTGTTACACATTAAACGTGCATGTGCAAAAACATATTCGCAGCCGTAAAGGTCTTACGTGCACTCGTAAACGCCTGTGCGCATGCGTGAACGCGATGCATGCTCAGAAAGTTTGTAGCTTTGAGGTGCGGATTATAGATCATTCCGGATTATGGGTGTCCGAATTAACGACTTTTGACTGTATTTAGCGTAAGTATATTGAAACACTCAATAGATTTCGAGGGCAGCTAAAGGTCCCTCCTCATCAGGAGAAATACATAGTAATAATTTTTGCGAAACTCCACTGTTTTGCAAACGTTGCAAAGATGTCTTTATTACACCTTTGCAGATGATGTTTATGTTGAATAGACGTCATTATTGCATTTTTCTCACATTATATTTTGGTTGTGAAAGCATCGTATCATGACGTCTTAACGACGCCTAAATTCTCGCAAAATTCAACCTTTTTGCAACAGTTGTGAAAATGTTATGACGTCCTTGTGTTACATATTGATTTATGCAGAAAAATAAGCTTAATAATTAATGCATTTTTCTTCTTTTTTTAAAATTTTAAATTCCTTGTATTTTTTTAAAGTTTAAATATTTTATCATTTTGTGAAAACCAGAAGATAATACATTTTTTTCTCTTTAGACTAAATATGTATAATTAATAATAGCCTTAATTATTTTCAGTACTTTAAACTATATTTTTTAATTAACTTAAATTAAGTACAGATTATTTAAGTGGTGTTGGTGTATTTAACTACGGCAAAGCACACTAGGGCTATCTGCCTAAGGGAAGGGTTGTCTTCGTGGAGGACTTTCTAAGGGAAACTGGCTCGTATACACGTTACACATGGGGAAAACCAATGCAGCCAGCCCGTTCGCGGGATTCGAACCGAATTACCAGTGTTCAGCGACTTTACTGCTCGGCCGCTGGTAGGCCCAGATTATTTAAGATTTCGTCATTTTTTATTTGATACTTTAGTATGTAAGTGAGATTAATTATGAAAGTGGTTATTATAAATATATAACAATAATAGTAGGTTTTTAAGTAAAGAAAACTCAATCAGCCACAAATAAAAGTAAAGCTATATATGTGGGTAAAGAATTTTCTGATTATAACAGCATTATCACATTTATTTCTGTTAAATCTCGGAGACAATGAAAATTGCCCGTCATGATAAATTAGGAAGCGTAAGCTAACATAATCAGTATTTTACCTGAATTTAAGTATAAATTTATTCGCGTTTCATAGTAAAAAATATAACCATTAACTTCTATATTTCCGAGATATGCAAATGAAAGACTGTATAAAGTAGTTAATATATGCGATCAAAAATATTTCATACAAAAATATACCTAAATCTAATAACCAAAAAAAACTTCCCATATTCATATCTAAAATGAAATAATAACTTAACAAACAACATACATGACAGTACTATTTCAGAAAAAACATGAACTAGCAGTGTTTGAAAGTATAAATAGCAGAAGGAAGGTAATAGAACTAAAATTTCTTATTAATTAAAATATATTTGCGCTTTTTAAATAGCAAGCATTTAAAAGTGCAAGAATTATG